CTAATTTGAACTAATAAAATAAAATTTTAAAAAATGCAGAAAAATTGAAAAAAAAAGAAATCCATTTTCCAAAGAACTAAGACCCCTTAAGCACCAAATCCTACTGTGTATAGACACAAACATACTTGTATTAGGATAAGTACAGAGATAAGACTTATGTAAAACTGTACTAAAAAGATGCTGCTATTGGAAAAAATATAAAACATCTCTAAGGGAAGTCTGTAACTTTGCTTTGGACCATTTGCATCCTCCTATTCCCCACAAGACTCTTGTTCTAATCCAGAATGCACCAGCCCTGAAACAGCTGCTCCCAGGAGGGAGGTGTCTGGGAACTGCTTCAGATGCTGGATGGAGAGTATGCCATTTAGCCTTCATGCATTTGTCTCAACAAAAAGACAGGAAGCCTCACAGGGTAATGTTAAGCCTGGGAGTTCTGCCAAAACAGACTATATTCTTTTTAAAATGGTCACATTTTTCCTACCCTTGAAATCTAACATAAGGCTTGTTGCAAAAAAAAAAAAGCCAGACTATATGTATATCACTGTAGAACCTAAATCCAGCTCAAAATTCCAGCTACACTGGTATGTATGGTATGACTGGAATAGTTTTTCAATAAGACTGCACAGTATATGCTATGCAATTCTAAATTCCATCACAATTTTGTAATGTCTCATGAAAAAGCTTTACATAAATATTCCAATGTTTTAATATATATTTATAACAGCATGATCCACAAAGGCAGGAGTTTATGGTACTGAGCATTTTCATAGATGCAAAGAGAACCATCTGGACCATTGCAGCACAGCCCTCCTGGAGCTACAACTATGGCAGGCCTCAGTAGCAAGGCAGAGCTGACACTGCAGCTGCACAGGCTGAATTAGGGCCCAGCTGTGAAACACCTGCCAGATTTACAAAGTTCACAGGCATCTAGAATAGATGAGTTTAACTTTGTTCCAAAATGTTCTTGGATCTTCTGTTCACCCTACCATATAAAATATTATAAAGAATGGCTTTTCAAGGTCC